AAATCCAAAGTCAGGACCTTTATCAAGTGAGTTCTTTGGATCTAACGTTCCCAACAATACGTCAATAATAATAATAATAATAATTCTCATATTCATAATGATTTACGTTATAAGAAATAGACAAATTCTAAGTGATTTTTCATCATCCTAAAAATGTGTTCTCTCTTGTTTAAACTACTGACAACAATGACAATTGATGAACAAATAAAGAGAATTTAAATATTTCATAAAACTTATCAGATAGTTCATGTCAACTTTACCCCCTGTTTATAAATAAATGAAATATGAAAATAAGAAAATGGCTTCATTAAAAGGCAGCTAAAAACTGTGAATAATGAAAAAAAGATGTCAACTAAGATAAATTTTCATTAAGCGTTCATCTATTCTTAGTTTTGAAGAAAAAACAAAAGGTAAAATAACCAACATAAGAAACCTGAAAGCATTGGAACACGGCTGTTTCGTCCTGGTATGATACTTATCAGTGGCATTGCACATCCATGAATCCTACAACTTGCAGGATTAGAACCTAGGACTTTATGGTTTGCGCACGAACGTCTAACCTCTGAAACGTTTTCATTCAATTACCAATCTTGTTAAAAATAAAAATAAAATTAAACACATACAAAAATTGTATCAAAATGTCATAATTACTTTTTCAAGTATTGAACCTTTTTTTATTTTTAACACAGTCAAGTTAATCTATCGATAAATCAAAGTGAGCTTATCAATGGGAAATGAAATCATGAACCCTAGAACCTTCGGTCTCGGGTTCGAATCCTCGCACGTAACAGGGATCGTGTAAGCCTACACACGTTAGATCGTCTGAACTCACTTGATAAAGATTCTAAATTTTTTATGCTTTCGAGCATGGACTGATCACTTGACCTTGAGATTGAATTTCCCAGTCAGAAAACCCCATGACTGTCATTGGTCAATGTATTATTTTAGTACGCTACTTTTGTGGTTCTCCCAAGGACATTTCTATCATGTATAAACAAACTTCATTTGTGCGCTTGTCGACCTTATATTTTCTGGGTACTTGTAGAATAAACATTCTACGTCTAGTCAGGAATTCTGACTCTACCTAGTGGGGCCTTAAGACGCTCGGATTAGAATAGCCTATCGTGTCACTGGATCATTTGTCTTCGCTTTCGTTTACCGACAAAAGTGAACACCTAAAAGCATTCAATCATATCAACTGACGAGCATACCAATTTGTCCCATACCAGGACGAAATGGTGGTCTTCTGAAGTGTTTCCAAGTTTCTAATGATCAATCTCACTAACAATGACTGATTGATTCATTTATGATTTCACAAAAATGAAAGAAAAAAAAACAACAGAAACACAACGCTCTCTACAATAACCAACACATGTAAACTCAATTAGAAATATAAACGCCTAATAATAAGTGAATAATAATTCATTGTTTTCGGTTAGAAAGTTGTGAAATTGTGTAGACAAACATTAACACGCCTACAACAAACATTAGAGAAACTGATGCGATCAAATAAAAACAAACAAATAAAACTGTGAAACAATCAAAAATTCATCATGATGATGATGATGATGATGACGATGACGATGATGATGAAGTGGAGAAAGAGCAATTCATTAAACGAAAACAAGAAAAAATCAGTAGATTTTTTTGGGTAAACAGTGTTTTTCTCTATTTTTTTTCTTCAAGTTTGAAGTGCTAAAAAATTGCTTTTGATAGGGAAAATTGTATGGAAATATATACAATGGGACATTTCAGTTTCTACATTTGTATTAGTCAGTCGGCTAACTATCAACAATAAAAGAGAACTTGATAGGTACTGGTAGATCATTTCAAGTTGCCATAAAGAGAGATCGAATTATCTATTCGAATAACATAATAGTAGATGTAGTAGAGGTATTAGCGGTGATGGAGAAGATTAGGGGTTCGAAGAAATGACTCAAGGAGCAAAATCCAGTTTAAATAAATTTAAATAGAGAAAAACAAGGCCGTCGTGAGAAGTTCAGAAGATTAGAATTTAAGAAAAAACAAAGAATGAATGCACCTGAGACATTGTAAACGATTTTAGGCTATGTCATTCAAAGTCACTCGATAACCAAGTAGTCTACATCAACTTCATGTGTATAAATATGCAATTAATAGCTCTTGCTAGATTCAACAACAATCTGCTTAAATCCGTTAAATTAAGAATCTTTCAGATGGATGAAACAACAACAACTAAATATAGATTTATTCAAATGAACACTACTTTGTTATTCATCCTTATGTGGTGTGAGCTACTTATAAGTAGTATATGACGTGAGTGTCAACATAATGTCTGGCAGCATAATATGGGGGAAGATCAAGAAAGGAAGAGTTAGAAAACAATGGAATTTGTATGAAACGCATGAACAGTGACATCGGATTGATGTTTTGCAACAGGAACAGTCCAGTTCGATATGATGAACTGATATTTTGCAAATTAACGATTTACGATATGGTTTTGCGATTTTACTGAGTAACTCTGTAATTTTCGTTAAATACAATTCGGTTGCCCCACCTGTGTTCTCGTTCACTACACTAACACTAAGAATTCCTTTCATAAACTAGAGTTTAGGCATTCGCACTCACGACTGAAGGTCTTGGGTTCGTATCCTGTGAGGTACAGGAGTCGTGGATGTGCACTGCCACTGATCAGTTGTTCCATACCATGATAAAACGATCGTTTAGTGCTTCTAGGTTTCTAATGGTGGTCTAACAATGATTGATCAACAATATATATACGTAAAAACAATGATCTCCATAACTCTAATTTAAAAAAATCCTAAATCCACATGGTGATATAATTTGAAACGATGTATTTTTTTATCTTACACCTGACCAGCTTTTACGGGATTATTACTTTTTCGAATAATTCGGTCATATATAAATATACATGTAGAAACATCTTATATACTGGAAAAAATTTGATTGATCGACTAGACAAATAAAGAAGATTAGAGAAAACAAATATAATACTCATATTAACGTACAAAATGTGAAAACCATGCTGGATAATATGTCAGTATTATCAAGGTAAACTCCACCTGAAACCTCTCTGGGGCTACTGCCAGTCACAAGCCCGGGTATAGGAAGAGGGTTGAGCGTGGGTTTGATGATCCCGTCCTGTAGAAAACTAACTAGCTAATAAAACGCTAACCAGAAAATATGGGGCTGAAACTACCAAAAGCCATCATACAGAAGATACAAGATTTATTACCAATTGTCAAGGCAGAATATTTCGGATCCGTTGGCTAGACACCATCAGCAATAACAAACCAGCTTCCCTCAACAGAAGACGCATATTGTGGAAAGCACCCAACTGCGTCGCAAGATAAGCTCTCACTTGAAACCTTCGTTTTGTTCATGTCTTTTAATTAAACCAATAACTACAATCACTTTCTTTCCATTTTCGATTGTGTTACTTATAATTTATTCCGAATAATTATTTTATCATGCGCAAATTACATTTTACTCTCTAAATTATTTCATCAAAAATAATAAATGTTTATTGAAAATTAAAATTATTAAGAGAAAGCAACTATAACTGCATCACACGACAAGCTTTCACCTGGAATCCTCAAGGCCAAAGGAGAAAAGGGAGGCCAAAAAACACACATTAACCCGAGAAGTGGAGATCGACATGAGAAGAATGAACAACAGTTGTACAGAACTAGAAAATAAGGCCCAGGACAAAGTAGGTCGGAGTATGCTGATCGGCGGCCTATGCTCCAATAAAGGTAACAAGTTTAAGTAAGTAATGCCAAGAATCGACAATGCCGTTCAGGAACTTCCGAGAAAATTTGTTCCGTTTAACTTACTCGGGATGTACAATTACCTCATCATTCAATTATTTTGAGAGAATACTTCTCACAGTCCCCTCGGTACACAAAATACCTTCATGTTAGATACAAACTCAACAATGGTTGGACATTACACTTAATTATTAACAATCTAATGGTTATTTTGGTTCCGAATGCGCTAACAAACATATACTTGACGAAGTAGGAATGAAATGATAAAATGCAATAAGGAATTAGTGATTTAAGTAAGAATAAGTAATTTCAACCAACTCAATCGACTGTGTAAATTAATTAATTAAAATATTTGAAATCATCAATCAGTCATTGTTACTAGACCACCATTAGAAACCTGGAAGCACTGAAAGACGGCCGTTTCATCCTGGTATGGAACACTTCAGAAGTGCGCATCCATACTCCTCCAGCTCGCGGGATTCGAACCCGGGACCTTCGGTAATGTGCGCAAATGCTTAACCTTCGGACCACTGGACCAGCATTCAACCGTGTTAATGTCTAACTCTGTCTAACCCAGTGATTCCAGGTTTCTAATGGTGGCCTAACAATGATTGATTGATGATTTCAAATGTGTAAAAACATAAAACCTCCAAAACTCTGCCCCAAAATATCGTAACAGTGCTCACTAGTGACTAGCTTCGTGACGAAATTCTCGGAGTTCTAGTTGAGAAGACGTGACTAATGGAGTTCAACCCTGTCGGGTGTAGGCAGTAACTGCCGAAGACAAATGGGTGAGGTCTCGCAAAATCCCTAGATCCATCAGAGTTAGACATTAACACCGTTGGACACCGAACCAGTGGTCTGATGGTAAGGCGTTCACGCACAATACCGAAGGTCCCGGTTTCGAATCCTGCGCGGTGCAGGAGTCATGGATGCGCACTGCCTCTGATGAGTCCCATACCAGGACAAAACGGCCGTCCAGTGCTTCTAGGTTTCTAATAGTGGTCCAGTAACAGTGATTGATTGATGATTTCAAATGTGAAAAAAACACAAACCTCCATGCATGGAAAATGGTCAAAATGAATCGATTTTTCATGATATTTTTTCTTTTCAATAAACTGAATTCATATTTTGCTGATGAAAATATTACTGCTGTGATATTTGATACAAAAACCAATGCAAAAATCAAAACTTTTTAAAAAAAAAGAGAAATCAATTCAATCTACTCACTTGATATTCATAATCTTGTGCTTTGACTTTTCTTCCACGTCTTGATGCACGAAATGCTGCAGTAGCTGCATGAGCAGCCGATGCTCGTCTCAGTGCACTACTACCACGACGTGGTACTATTTTATCATGATTACTTAATTTATCCAATTCCGTTTTTGGTAATAAATCCATCGGAATATTTCTTTCCACACGTACAGTATGACATAATGATAGCAAGAGTAGTAATGTTTGTACACTGTTTACTGTTGTTGGTGATTGACTAATTGAATCATCGTTTGTTTTGTTGAATTCTACCGCTTCCGAGAAATCATCCAACTCATCTGGATCATCTAAACTAATTGGAGTTCGTATCAATTCACGATCCAATGTTGAACCATGCAGTATACTTTGTGGTGAGTCGGTATAACGAAATAAACCATTATTTTCAAAATGAAATACACCCATTGAAGTGGCCAGTCGACGAAATTGCATGGAATTTTCTGTTAGGGTACCAGTTTTATCAGTAAATAAATATTCGACCTTTTTTTTTTAGAAAAAAAATGTATAAATATTAATAATGATGATGTGTATTTTTTTTTGCATAAAATTCTAAGTTCGAAAAATTATTTGTCGGTAATTAAAACAATGTTTCATTTCAATTTGTCAAACTCATTTCATTTGAAATTCATATTTATTATATAAGTGACGAAAAAACGTTCGCACTACGGGGTTGTGAAGATTGTTAAGTTACACATTTTTGAAACCATAAATCGATCAATGTTGGACAACCATTAGAAACCTGGAAGCACTGGACGGCTGTTTCGTCCTGGTATGGGACTCCTCAGCAATGCGCATCAATGACTCGTGCACCCCACAGGATTCGAACCCAGGACCTTCGGTATTTAAAAACGTTTTTTCATCAATTTTGTTCAATAAAATAGTTTGTGATATAGGATATTTAAAAATGAATATCATGCAAGAAACGATAATCTTTTCAAAATTCAATATCTTTGTCAATATAAGGTTGTGGAGATTTTTAATTTTTATTGATGTCATGAATTGATCATATCTGGAATTCCAAATAACTTTCAACCAAAACCAAAATAAGGATTTTCAATACAAATATCAAGACAGGTCTACTGTATGCAGCGGAAACATGGAGAACTACCAAAGCCATCATCCAGAGGATACAATTGTTTATTAACAGCTGTCTACGCAAAATACTTCGTATTCGTTGGCCAGACACGATCAGCAACAACGAACTGTGGGAGAGAACAAACGACATTCCAGTGGAGGAGGAAATCAGGAAGAAGTGGTGGAAGTGGATAGGACACACACTACGAAAAGCACCTAACTGCGTCACGAGACAAGCCTTCACATGGAACCCTCAAGGCAAAAGGAAAAGAGGAAGGCCAAGGAACAAATTACGCCGAGAAATAGAGAAAGATATGAGAGGAATGAACAAACATTGGACAGAATTGGAGAGGGAAGCCTAGGACAGAGTTGTTTGGCGAAAACTGGTGGGCGGCCTATGCTCGATTGGGGGTAACAGGCGTAAGTAAGTAAGTAAGCATGAATCCATCAATGTTAGACCACCGTTAGAAATCTTAAAGCATTGGAGGGTCGTTTCTTCCTAATATGGGTTTCCTATGCAGTGCACACCGGCGACACCGAACGTGGGAATCAAACCTAGGACCTGCGGTTCGAGTACGAACGCTTAACATTTAGACCACTGAGTTGACATCCAGCATTGTAAATATCTGGCTTTAATCAATCCATGATAATGCGCGACCATCATCCATTTTCTTCAGTACGTAACTGCCTCATACTATATCCACATTATTGAACTCCACTGTCCATGGCTTCCCACTAAAACTCCTCACGCAGTATATCATAAGTGAGCATAAGATTGTTAAGTTTCTTTGTAATCATAAAATGATGATCGTTAGAAATTCCTGATGACTTCCACAGCAGGACGAAACGGCCATCCAGTGCTTTCAGGTTTCTAATAGTGGTCTAACAATGATCAGTCCATGATCTCAATGAAATTCAACAATTTTCTGAAATTTATGCACTTACAACTAAGACAGTTTGATGATTAACTGTTTCATGAATTGAAACTCAACGCAAAAAACACCAATAAACTTGAATATAAACACTATTACTGAGATGTCGTTTGATCAATTGAATATTGAAAATACAAATGTTTAGCTAAAATATGAACTACTATTGTCCAGAGAAGAATATAACTGTGAGCTGGTAATTATTATCAACACTATTGGGGTCGTAACAATCTTTAAATTAATTTAAATTATCATTATAGGGTTGTGGAAATTGTCGAATTTCAATAAAGTCATGAATCGATCAATATTAGACCACATCATTCGAAACCTGGCCGCTTCGTCTTTAGTATAGGACTCATCAGTAGTGCATAGCTACAACCTTAGCTCACGAGAACCGAATTTAGATTACAAAAAAGTTTTCGTATTCAATATCTTATTAAGAATGATAAGTACTTATAAAAAATGAAATAACTGTCAATTGTTCAGAGAATAATCTTAGTAATGAAAGGAACAAAGTGTAAAGTTTTCAAGACAAACTATACTGATTTTATGTTACAAGTCAATAGTAATCAATATTTGATTGAGAAAAAATAATTAAATTTTCTATAATTTTTTTAATGCAACTGTAAGAATCGCTTACAAATGAAGTTACTATAAAGTTCAGTTCAATACAGTTTGATTTTATTTTCACAGACCAGAACTCAATACTTACAATATGTCTAGTATTTATATATTTATGTATATGTATATATTTCATTACGGGGTTGTGGAGATCATCGAGTTTCATTGAAATTATGAATTGATCAGTGTGAGGCTACCAATAAAAACCCGGAAGAACTTGTTGGCTGTTTCATTCCAGTACAGGACTCATCAAGTGTGCTAATCCATGACCACCCTGCCTTGTGGGAATCCAACCCTGAAATTTCGGTCTAGCATGCGAATGTTTGATCTCTGGACTAGCTTCGTGAAGAGTTTACTCCGAGTTCCAATAAGAATTCTTGACCAGTGAAGTTCAATCCTCTCGAGTGTGAAACGGTGCTTTCCGGAGACAACATATGAGATCGCGCAAGATTGTGGACTCATCAGTATTAGATATCAACACCACTGTATAATGCCTCAGTGGTCTAGAGGTTAAGCGTTCTTTCGTGAGACCGAATGTCCAGAGATTGATTTCCGCTGATTGGGGGTTGTGGATGCACACTCTTAAGGAGCGTCTATTTCGGACGAAACGACTGTTTAGTGCTTCCAGGCTTTCAATGGTGTTCTAGGAATGAGCTATTCATGATTTCAACATATATATATATATATATATATATATTCCGTACCTTGAAATTAGTACCAACGAGAGTTCTCGAATTCTAACAAACGACATAAATGAAATCAAACCACGTCGAACGGATTAAATCCTGCCAATCGTTTCATTTAAGTCAATCTATATACTAATGTGTTTCAATCTAAATACTTCGATGGCAGATTTTATTTATTGATTCTATTTTGTTGATTTGACGTTTAACGTTGTCAACACAGACTCTGAAATAAACTGAATCTATTAAAGTCAGTACCAAATTTGGAGAGTTTCCATTTGAATCAATGAGAGTATAGTCTTGACTAGTATGTACGGTGGACGGAATACTAGCCATAGAGGTTAGTAAAGCCTAATTTGGTGACACCGAGTGGCGTTTCTGGAACGAGCATTCTTTCGAGATACCGGAACTCACAGCATGGATGTGTTTCATCGCACCAAGAACAAGTGTACTTTACATGCACATCAGAAACACGTGAGTTTTGAATCATCATACCCAGGAGGTTGGGTATACGTTACATGTACACTAGAAACACCCAAATGGTTGTTAGGTCCGATCTCTACAGACCGCACAAGTCAACTGACAGGATTGCCACCGTTAACCATCTCCGCCACATAAAGGCCCTAAGTTGGATTTCGCAACCTGACTAACGAGTGTTTGTGAATAATAATCACATTATAAGTATCAGTACCACTCAATTAAAAAAAGCTTCCCTTTAAATAAAATAAGTGACTGCTTGTTAGTAACACTCTTGTTATGACCTTACTTTTCAGTACACTTTATGCATAATCAACCACACTTAAAATAACCGACTAGTTAGTTTAAATTGAGTTAAAAATTCATATTAAACTAGGCAACTAATTGACAGTTGATAATTTGTAGAGTGAAATTCTGAATTGTAAATTTTTGTTTCTAGTGAAAATCAATTAATAACCTCGTATGTTAGATTTATATATGAACATCTATTCTTTTTGTGATCTCCAACTTAATTATTATTAATTATATATATATATATATAGTCTTATACAATAAAAAGACTAATGGACACAAAGTATTCCTAATAAATAAAAGCCCTTGAATGACATGGCTGAAAATCGTTCGCAATGTCGCCGGTGCATTTATTCTTTGTGTTCTCTCAAACCCTAATCTTCTGGGTTCTTCAACACCTCTAGCTTCGACTCTAAACTTTTCTCACTGAATCATACTTCTTGAATAATATCTTCTAACCCTAACCTCTCCGATTACTTCTAATACCCTTACTAACTCTTCTTCTATTGGATTTGAATTGACAATTACATCTGTGTGTGCTGATGTGGTATGGCAACATGAACTGATGTACTTACGTACCAAGTTCTACGTAGCATCTGACTGACTGACTGACCGTAAACAGAGTGTAGTTTACACTACTATGTAAAGCCTACAAGACTTATCCTGTGGAAGTAAAGCAGTAATACCTAAACTACTGACTACATTTTGAGTATTATTCAAATATAAGAATTTTCTCGAGGAGAATTTATTGCGCTATATGCATAAATTCTGTAATTTATGTATTTTCTAGTGTTATATTACTTACTTAAGCTTGATTGCACTAACGAACAGAATTTCCTAACATACTCTGTCCTCCACTCTCTTTTCCCAGTCCTTCCCAAATGCTGTTCATTCTTGTCATATCTGTCTCTGCTTCTCAGTACAATGTGCTCCTAGGTCTATCTATCTCCCCTTTGACCTTGAGGATTTTAGTTTAGGGCTTGCCATGTTATGCTATCAAGTGATTTCATCAATGCGTATCCACCTATCTACCTCAAACGCTTCTTTCTAATTTCTTCCTCTGCTGAAGGAGTCTGGTTTATTGTCTCTCTAAGTAAGTTAATATTGATGCTGTTTGGTCAACAGATCCAAAGTATCTTGCGTAGAAAATCGTTGATAAATACATGTATCTTGCGGATGATGGCGTTTTTATAGTTCTCTAAGTTTTCGCTCCATACAACTATAGAGATTAAAAATATTATCTTTGTGGGGGAATATGGTGGCTCGTGTAACCAGTTTGTTCAAGACACATATCCAGTGTTGTCCGCTCCAACCTTGTCATTTAGGTCTCCCATAAGAATTTTCAAGTCCTCTGTTCGGCATTTCTCCACTATTGACTGAGGTTTGGTATAGAATTAATCTGTTA